GAAAGATAGAATTTGGTGGATCTAGAGAAGAAGGTGCATGAGGGTATCCAGATCGAATAAGCCAATTTCATCTCCAGCTTCTCGTAGCTTCACTATAAGCGCTTCATTCTCAGCTATTAATTAAGCATTATAATTATAATTAGTACCTCAACTCTAAAAATATATATCTAATTACTCAACGGTTATACATATGTACCTTGAGCGGAAATACAACGTTGATTTGTAGCAAAGGCAAGCTCCTCAAGCTCCCTATGCTCAATTGTAAGACATTCAGTCATCTCATTCAGCATTTCGAGTCGGGCACGCCTCACACTCACCTCCATCTGTATATGTATATAACTTATCATAAAATTATGTATATTCATGTAGAGAAAAAATAAGAATTGAAGTGTATAGTACATGTATGAAATAAAAGTATTAGAGTCAATTTATAAATATACTTCGAGCTCTTTGGTTTTCTTCTCTAGATATTCAATATACTGACGCTTCTTCCACCTTGACCTTTGAGCAAAAACACGGTTCGAAATTATGCTACATACATAATTACATATGAAGACTGATGAATTTCAATTTATGGTTTTAAAATATTATAAAAGTTATATCGAATTTCGCAAGATAATTAAAAATAAAATATTATGTAACACCGAACCGTTTTAGTTTCTTAGGGTCCATGGCAAGGTCAGTATCCTGACGTAGTCGAACGGTGAAGCCAGGATCTACTTCAAAGTCGAAATAACCAACTTTCTTCTCTTCGTTTTGGTTACGACCATTGGAAACTTGAAACGACGACGTCGGTACGAGCAAGCTTGAGTTAGGCATGGAGTTTTTGTTGTTGTAATATAAGGTAAGTGAGTTGTAATAGTAGTGTCAAATTATTTTTATAGTAAGTGAAGTACAAGTCAAATACCTTATTTGCCCTTCTAATTTAGTGTTCGATTTTACTTAAAAGGTAAAAGAAGAATTATGACAAATGATTTGACCAATGCATGTATTCTCGTTACTCATTAGATGTTTATATACCTTATCAAATTTATTAGTTAAAAAAAAACTCTCATTATTATCAGTATTACACCCAATTAATAGCTTGACATATAAAAAATGTGAATGGTGCAATGTTAGCAAGAAACAAGAGAGAAAAACGATATTTTTCAATAAAACAAAATCAGTTGAGTGTTAATAAATCTCTGTATGGTTAATTTCATGAACGTTACCATGTCGTTTTTGAAAATTTAAAATTAATGGTCAAATTTATAAACAGAATACATAAAAATGGAAAATGAAACGTATTCTCTCAAAACAGAAAAACAACTAAGAGTTATTCCTAATTAAGTTTATACCAATTGCAAAGTCATAATACTATTAAAATCATAGTATAAAATGCAATAAGAAACTTCAAAGCTACAAATGTTATTATTTGTTTCTTTAACTATAAAACAAATAATTATTCATTGGATTTGTAGAAATTGCATTTTTTGGAATCTATTCCCATGCTTTACCATTGGACCAATTAGGCTTTTACGTATGAAAATATATTTTATGAATACTTTGTAGTCTATAAAAGAAATTTTATATTTCTTCCGTATCATAATAGTTGATGTTTTAGAGAATTTGTTTGTATCCAATTAGTTGATGTTTTCATATTCCTAGGTAAAAATTTAATGTTTTTTTTGCTCTTGTGACTCTATGAATTCTACAGTATCTTATGTGATTGGTTGAATAATTTTTTTTTGAAATAATAAATGATTGTTTGTTTAAAGTAAAAAATACACAAAAATACATCATTTATTGGGG